TTGCCCAACAGCACTTTTCTATCTGCAGGTCACAGAGTTCAGGGAATAAAAACCCATTTTCCCCAAAAGTTCACTTAGAGTGAATATAAATGGGGCTACTCATGCTTCCATCTCTTGGTTTCTAGGCTCACAGACTCTATTTTTTTTATTGGGAACCCAGTACCATATAAAAGTCGATCTTTGATTTAAAGTGAATACTGTGTTCTTAAAGGTACTGTAAGTAATATTGTAAAGCCCCATTATTGTAAAGTACTGTCTCTCAACTGACACTTCAACTCAGCCTTTAACAGCCATGATAAAGGGGACAGATGAACAGCAGGATGAAGAAATACATAGGGCAAAGTCTGGGAGGGTCCCAAACATGGCGCTTCTGTGCCCATGGAGTTGTGGTTCTTCACCCTCCCGGTAGGTGGATGTGTTCACGCATCTGGAAGCTCTTTGAACTCCCTACTCTTGGAATTTTATGGAGGCTTCCTCAGGTAGGCATGATCAAGTATTAATTGGTTTCCAGGCTATCTCCCTAAGAGGGGAAGATTCCAAACTTCTAATCATGGTTTGGTCCTTCTGGTGACTAGCGCCTCCCAGGTGACCCAGAGTCACCTCATTAGAATAAACGATGCTCCTAGTGCTCTTATCATAAAGGAAATTGCAAGGGTTTCAGGATCTTAGTCCCAGAAATTGAGGGGATATTTGTATATATGTATTCCTATTAAGGCATATCATGCCAGCATCTTCTTGCTCATTCAATAGAATTAATATGATGCCACGGATATACTGGATTAATGTGATCTTCTTTATATGTTCAGATGCTCATGTAACTTCAGGCTCTTATGACAGGGGCAGGTGAGTTTTCATAGGACAATAGGACAAGGGTAAAAAGGCAAATGTGTGATCTTGACCTTTTCATGTTTGAGCAGATTGTTTCTGATCTTCTTTTCTGATCGGGTGGGAAAGAAGGCCTTTGCTGAAACAGTGGCCTCATTTCCCTGCAGACATATTAAAGGAAAGTTACCATATCTGGTACACGGTCTGTAGTAGGGGCTAAAATGTTGAGTGTTCAACAGTCTATTGTAATTGTCCAGAATTCCAATTTTTGTAGTAGACAGACTAGGGAAATAAATAGAGATCTGATGACAATGACCACTTCTGCAGCTTTAGTTCTTTAAGCGTGGCACTAATTTCTTCCTTCCCCTCTACACATACATGTATGGTTTTAAAGTAAATTTATGGAGTGACATTGGTTAATATGATATATATTTTAAACTGACTTTCCTTGCTTTAAGGGGGAGGTGTCTGCGGCAGAACAATAGTTTCTACTTGGCCTTTGTGCATGTGATTGCTGTTACCACACAGGTCAATGACCCAATATGGAGAATGGACCAACTACCAATTTTGTTTATTCAAATTATACTTCTGAAGAATATAGAAATGACCACCATGTCATCTATTAGGGTGCCATCAAGGTTCTTCATCCTGATGGCATTGGAGGGCAGCACAGGTACTTGGGGTTGGCTAAGTGATTCCCTTGGGCAGAGAAGATGGCAGGACAGGACAGAGCCTACAGAAAGCACACAGATTCTGGGATGTGTTGTTGTTTATGTCCTATAAGCTCAAGCTCTCTCACTTTATGTATTCCCAACAAGGTTGCTCTTATCCTCCTGTCATTGACCACGGACGTCCTAAACTAACTACACACACATTCTCAGCTGATGTGGCTAAATATGAATGTGACAGAGGATACACTCTGGTTGGACATCCCATACTCTTCTGCAGTTTTTCACGCTGGTCTGGTCCGCCTCCTCAATGCAAAGGTAACTCCAGCCCACGGATAAATGGGAGGGACTGTCATGCAGGGATTGAGAATAACCTTTCTTTCCAGCCAGAGGCAGAACAAAAACATATGGTTTGTTTATTTTAAATAATTACTATATGCAAATGGTGCCCAAAGCAAACAAAAGTACAAGGGGTATACAGAAACACTAATCTCTCCTATTTCTTTCTACCAC